GCACGGTCCGCGTGCGGCCGCGCATTTGTATTCTTACGAATCGCATGCTTTCTGCCCTTACCTGCTCCTGGTAGTGCTGGCGATGACTTGGATTTTTCTATTACGTCGTCCTTCATCTTGTCGAATACGTCCTTCACCACTGTCACTATTTCTTTCGCAATGCCAGCACTGCCGGTGACACCTGCCCCTTGACCCACTTTCGCTCCTGTTGCTAATTCATCGTTGTTTGACTTGTTGCGTCTACAGTTCTCATTGCCATGCAGTTGCCTCAGTTTGGTCCATAAGTCCGTATTGTGCGATAACCACGCATCCACTGCTGTTCTAATTTGTCCGCTACCTATTGTTAATCCCTTCCAACCGCCTTTCTCGCATCTTGCGCTTGCAAGTGCGCCCGCACCTGCTGTGTCCCGGAACCCGGCATCTACCCTCTTCATTGTCCTCCACGCATAATTTATGCCGTTCGACGTAGCCGCACACGTGGTAGATCTTAAGATACTCGCAAATACATGCATCACCGTGCACCCTAAAATTTGTCTCATGTCCTTATCAGTTTCATTCCTCGTTTGTCCAAGTTGCCCTGCGTCGCGTACTGTACTCATGAACGTTAATGCAGCGGACATGATCCTGCACGTTACTCTGTCTTGCTCCGTAAAATCTTTTAAGTAAGCCTTACTGTCGTCCCTATGATCCCAAAAGACATTATCACAGTTCGCACCCAGTACGTCTATTAGACCCCTAGCTGCCTTATCTTCCATATGCTGTACAAATTCCTCCAATAGTCCCTTAATAATTTCCCATAGCCCCGCCTACAGTGAATATATGGAACAACCTCAACGAGTATATATAAACGGTAAACTTCGGGTGCGCCATCTACCCCATGTGTCCCCGTTGACAGAAGAATGTGCGTGATGCAACTCCTGCGCTCCCTCTACTCCTACTCCTTCACACTTACGTTAAACTTCTCCGTCGTGAACCTCCCTTTCTGCCTGGCCCATGTGGCCAATACATGTGCAATAAATGCCTCCACAGTCGTATAGTTCGGACTGTGTGAACTCATCTTGCATGTGTCAGCGCCAGAAAAATCCCATAACAAGTTATTAAGGTTTTCATGCGTCCACTCAATACTTCAGAAATCCTGAACTTCCTATTCCGATGGTGCCTTCCGTGGCCACGTGCTACTTGTGCCTGTCTGTCGCACTGAATAATGTGTTCTATGTGCGTAACATCAGGTAGGAGCTACTAGAACAGTTGTATAATATATGGTTATAATACACAAGGAAAAGGAAGACCCTGCTGTTGTTGCCCTTAATACATATTAATCTTTAACAAAATGTTGCCTATATAAATTCCCATTCTACATTAGGTAATATCTAACATTCTAGAGGAACAAAATAGACGGAAAATAAGACATATGTAAGAAGAATAAAAAGCAAAGAGAAACGAATAAAAATAAAAAAAATAAAAAAAGAAAAACAAATGAAAAATAGGAAAAACACTACTCACCTTCATGAATACGCCAGTCTACACCGGTCTTCTCGAAACGCCTGCACACACACTGTCTCTGTGTGCGTACACCTACAAACCGCAGTAATAACAAAAACATCAAGACTTCTGGCGTCGTTGCTGCCGGCGTGGTCGCCGTCCCTCCCGCGGCTACGGCGTCTAATCGTGCGTACCCGGCCACGTTTGCTCGGAGAGACAATGTCTCCCTCCTTTCTTACACTCGGCTACTTCGTCGAATCCTGCTTACTCGGACCGGCCGCTTTGGTCGACGCGGTTGCTCGGAGAGACAATGTGTACCTTCTTACACTCGGCTACGATGCGGTTTACGCGGCCGCGTGTGCTCGGAGAGACAAGCGCTCCGTATACTCGAATGCTTATTCGCATTCTATATTTGTTCTGCACTATACCCGTAGAATGCACGTGCGCATCTGTTAATAATTAACTTCACATAAAGCAGAATACTACCCCGTCATATTATTCATGTAAAGCTACATTTTTTATGCATTTGACGTGTACCACCGTGTGCCCATGGTCATGTTAAAAGAAGTGGACTACACAGAAAAAGAACAAAACAAAGCACAAGTAAGCAGAAGAGAGCAGAAGAGAGCAGAAGAGAGCAGAGAAAAAAAAAGAACGTATGGAATAGTACAAACAAGAAATATATGATGTATATCACATAATGAAGTAAAAGTGGTCTACGGGCAGCATGCGTTATGTCGCATGCATATGCCCCGTCAACCTAATGTCACAGGTGATCCAATAGTTCATCTACATATAACTCCTTCTCCTGCAGGCGGCTTTCTAGCTCGCACTGTTCTATGACGAATGCGAGGATTAGCATCCACAATTTGGCTATTAGTTGTGTCTGCTTGTAGGAATCCTCATGCAGTGGTTGCGGCTGCGGCAAATCTCTCACTCTTAGTGTGTCTTCTGTTCCCATTACTTTGTCTACTGGAGGTACTGCGCCTTTGTCCGGTACTGTCTCCTGGTCGATATTTTCTAACAAATGCCTGAACCAATCGTTTTCGATATACTTTGCCATGTCGTGATGTTGCTTCACGACCCACTTTTTCCAGGCATCTTTCTTCATTTCCACACATCCAATACTTCTTTGTTCACTGAGTTCACGATGCACGTTGTCCTCGTTTGCCGCCATGTGCTCACGCAGGTATTGTTTCCATGCCGACTTTAGTTGCAAAAGCCACGGTTGCGTCGTGCACGCCCGCAGAATATGTTTGTGGCGGTCAATCCAGTTAATCCATTGGGTGCACGCCGACGTCGCCTCCCTGTGGTTGGAATGAGCACGACGCTTTTGTGCATCTAACTGTATGGTGTCCATACAACTCCATGGATCGCAGTCATGAGGTGGACCAAGGGCCTTGGCTAACTGTATGGTGTCCATACAACTCCATGGATCGGGGTCATGTGGTGGACAAGGGTGCGTTGGTAACTGTATGGTTTCCATACAACGCCATGGATCGGGGTCATCGGCGTCAGAAGCAGAAGGGTCCGTTGCTAACTCTATGGCTTCCATACAACTCCATGGATCGGGGTCATGTGGTGGACATGGATCCGTTACAGCGGTGTCAGTGGGTGGATCCACGGTGGAGGAAACATTGTTTCCTAATAAATCCTGGTTTGTGGTAGGAGCATCCGGGAAACTACTATACCCCTTTGCGTCCTGCTGCAAGTCGCGCGCAAACTCCTCCACAAGTATCTGCAAATAGTGGTCTTTGACGCTTTCCCACTCGGTTGCTTCACATTCGTGGAGCACTTCTAGATCTAGCTCGATGATGGTGCGTTTATGCACGCGTGGTGGGCGTCCTGTACCGGATGTTGACGCAGGGTGCGTATCCTTAATCATTTTGTACCCGTAATCGGGTGGTGGCACGCGTCGTTGTAGATGTTGCAATATTTCTTCGTCGAGTGGCGGTGACGGCACGTCACGAACGGTTCGATACGTTCGTCGTCGTGTTTGTCCGAGGTACGCAAAGTACTAAGCAAAAAAAAAGAAGAAGGACGATGTAGAATAGTGCATTTGTGTTAGAATGATCGTACAACAGACCCCGTTAGGAACACATTTGTCTATGGTACATATTGCGGATACGCATATGCGGTATTCCGTATATACTTACCTTCCAAAGGGAATAACCAAGAAGGGCGACGGTGACGGCGGACAGGAAGAAGAGTACGGGAGTAGTGGCGGTAAGGATATCGCCGGTTAGGTCAGGGACATCAGGGCTAGGGGACGTGGGTGTGTTCTGTGGCGTATGTGGATCCTGTGGGGTACCTGGTCCATATGATCCTCCTACATTGCTTTTTCCTTCGGGCAGTTCTATGCCCAGTTCGAGGCCGCCAGTGCCACTTACGCCCGCGGCTCCACCTCGTTCAGCTTGCCCACTTGGTCCTGTAGGAGCACCTGCAGCACCAGTTCTAGTGCTGGCTGCACGTCGGCCCCCACCGATTATTGCATGACACTGTTCACTGTCGTCGTCTTTCTTTTTCCCATCGACCATGCAGTAATCGGCACTACCGAAAGGATCCGTATTATTATCACCATTCGCTGCGGAAACAATATCTGTGCCCTTTGTGGCGCGATCGTCATCGTGCGGTTTAGGTGCCGTAGTATCTGGCGCCACCGGAACAGTCTGCGCAGTACCAGGGTCTCCCTTGGCACCATCACCAGATGTTCCCGTAGTTGCTCCTGTTCCTGCTGTCTCTGTTCCTGTTGATGGTGTTGGTGTCGGCTGTGTGTGGATTGGAGTGGACGCGTGCGCACCTCCGTCTTTGTCCGTTGTTTCTGCTATTGTGGACCCTGCTCGCGCTGGCTCCGATGCGTCCTTACTTCTTTTAACATGTTCACCTATAAGTTCAAGCGGAAAGAAGGACGAAAAGAATATGCATGAAACTGAAATTTTACGAGTTGGTTGGGCCCATGGTTCACGGTGGTTGATCATGCTGCGTTGACCACGGTCCGTCGCTGGATGGTTGTGCACACCGTCGGCTACACGTGGATCGAGCACGGTCCGTTGACCACACGGTAGGCCACACGGTTGGTGCGTGCGGTCGTTTCACGGGTGACCGCCGCTCGGGTGACGAGGCAGGGATGGGGCAGGAGGACTGCCGGGGCAGGAGGACTGCCGGGGCAGG